CTCAGTAGAGAGGAAAGTCCAGTTTTCAGAACTCACTCCCTTATGCAGACTTGAGGACGTTTCTCCACTGACGGAAAACATGGGCATATCTTGAAATTTGAGAACTGTGTTAACCGAACCTGGAAAAAAAGAAAATAGTGGAAGATGTTAAATATCCATTAAAGTTTGGAAATGGTTGTGAAAGTCTGGTTCAAACTCTCTGAACAAAAGGTCAAACATGTTCTTTTCTAAAGTTGGCGAACCTCTGCAGGTGCATAAGTGGAAGACAGTTAACTAAAATATTCACAATATTATCAATACAAGTTTTATCAATACACAGAAGTCAATCAATCTTTTATTTTATGACCATGTGTAGATTGTCAAGGTAGTCACGGAGTAAAAAAATGTGGACTTTAGGTAATCCATGAGAGACCAGTGACTTCGCAGACTTGAGTCGGCTTTAATGCTCGGATTGCTGTGTGTTCACAGATGGTGAGTGAGAAGGTTGGAGGTGCGGAGGGAACCAAACTGGATGAAGACTTCAAGGACCTCGAGAGGGTAACATGCATACATTTTCTGAAAATATCTATACTAAAAGGTAGAATAACAACATGTTCTTTTGTGTTACTGAAAGAGAAATTATGTCATTAAAGTTTCCCTCACTCACTTAAACACTCTCAGAGGCATAAAACTCAGTATATCAATTACTGTCTCCCCATAACCTGTACCACCAGAGAGCAGATATCACCAGCAAAGCAGTGGTGGAAGTCATCACTAAAACATCAGAGTACCTCCAGCCTAATCCGGCAACGAGAGCTAAGCTTTCCATGCTGAACACAGTGTCCAAAATCCGCGGGCAGGTGAAGAGTCCGGGCTACCCCCAGCCTGAGGGCCTCCTGGGGGAGTGCATGACTAAGTATGGACAGGATATGGGCTACGACACCAACTTTGGTAAGAACAGTTATAGGCAGTGAGATGATGAGAGATGCTGTATGTATGGTGGATGTTTGGAAACCATGAAAAGAGAGGAGAATTAGAACAGTGTATTTGTTCAGGATGTTCCCATGAATCTACTTATAATGTTTTAACCTTCATAGTTTAAAGCCAATCAGTATTATTAACATTCCCCACAATGTCCCACATTCCCTAACGCTGGTATTTTGCATGTCTGCAGGTGGGGCTTTAATAGATTTTGGGGAGTCAATGAAGAGGATGTCTGAGGTCAAGGACTCTTTGGATATTGATGTGAAGCAGAACTTTATTGACCCACTGCAGGGAGTTGCTGAGAAGGATATCAGAGACATTCAGGTAGAATCAAAGAGGTGGTATGCCTCTGCACGTACATGCCAGGCATTGACTAATGAGTGCCGCAGTCTGTGTGTCATCTGCAGTAATAAGAAAAGAAGTATTAACTGTCCAGATACAGAGCAGTGGAATTGCATGTAAATGTTTAAATCGCACACATTTCTCAAAACTATCATACACGTGACAGTACTTCATATAATTCATATAATATTATCTGTGAAAACTAATTTTCCAACTCTTCCACCCCCTCAGCACCACCTGAAGAAGCTGGAGGGTCGCCGGCTGGACTATGACTATAAAAAGAAACGGCAAGGTAAAATTCCAGAAGAAGAGATCAAGCAGGCCCTGGAGAAGTTCCACGAGTCCAAAGAGCTGGCTGAAAGCTCCATGCACAACCTGCTGGAAACAGATGTGAGTAGCCTGTAGAATAAACTTGATTCACTTTGCATTGCAGGTGACATATTGAAACCTGCTGGACTTGTTTCATTTCTAGAACATGTTAATAAAAACGTAGTGTGGGTGAGACTGTCCTTGTTCCTCTGCAAGGTGTCTGCACTGCAAGAGAATAAAACCATGGCCATAGATTTTGCAACAAGCACTCAGATAGTTTTTAGATCTGCAATCACTTATTTACTTATTTCTTTTTCAACAGTGATTTATCTCTAGCCAATCAGATGGCTCCTTTTGCTTTAGCCAATCATGTAAGTGTTGATTCAAGGGAGTAATTTAATGGTATAAAATGAAAACAAAAAAAATGAAATGTTTTATTTAATTGATTTGAATCACGGACGAATTAGTACTTAATTTTTCTATTAAGATATTTATTTTGTTGCCTAAAAGGGACTGAAATATTTAACTTAATTTTACTCATGCATATTTGTTGAAAAAAGATTTTAGCATAATTGATTTGAACGTTCTTCCTCAGATTTGTCAAGTGGTCCACTGTTTGGCATCAAGTCTTTGTCATGTTCTGACCATAAAGAATAGCTTAAAAACAGAATTAACTGTCCAGTTTCTTCTACTTTCACTCAGGAGCCAAAATCAGCCTTTAAACTTGAATGAAATAATTGACATTTATCGTGATAATTGTCAATATTAAATTATATGAACATTTTTGGCCATATCGCCAGCCCTAGTGAGGGAGTTGGTTATATCCTCTTAAATCCTGAAATACATTATTCCGTGTGCTTTAATAAATATTGACACTGATCGGAATCCATAATAATCTAACGACGTATTGTTTTTGTATTTTCCAAGGAATCTTGTTTTCAATAAAGTAGGCCAAGTCATGTCAACAAGCATTGTTATGTAAGATATAATAGGCTTAAAGTAATAAAGAAGCCATCTCAGCGCCAGTGGAAATAACTCCATCACCTTAATAGGTGATTTGATCAGTGGAATTCACACAGGGCAGAAGTTTTATAATTCTGTCTAGTTTTCTTTGGGGAGCCAAAATGTATCAATACTTCAGTCTTTAAGAATTTGGGGGAGCTGTAAAAATCTCATGATTGCCAAGACGTCTTCTGTGTGCCAAGACTGTGAGATGGAAGTCCAGCAGCAGTAGTTTTCAGTATAGAAAGGATGAATACAGAGCTGCATGAAACATATATTCTGGCTGGTATAGGTTTCTACTTGCATTGGAAATGCATTTTGCTTGCTTCTCACAGTTTCTCAGCTAGTAAGCCAAATGTGATTTCTCTAAGGGCAGTATATATCAGGTGACATGCCTAGTTTTTACTACCAATGACTTGCATAGTGAGAACTTGTCAAACCTGTTTTTTGCTTGTTTCTTGTTGGTATTTCCTGTTTTCATACTTGCCATAATAAGATGTTTCAGTGGAGTAATTGTGATAAACAATACTGGTGTGATGATGAGACGCAAGAATTAAAACGATAAACCTGTAAAGAATGCTCTGAAGGGCCACTGCTGTTTCTGTGTTTGGTCTGATTTTGAAATGGTTTGTATGTGCATGTAGGTGGAGCAGGTGAGTCAGCTGTCTTCTTTAGTGGAGTCTCTGCTGCAGTACCACAAACAGGCCTCGCAAATCCTGGAGGAGCTTTCTGACAAACTGAGAGAAAGGTCAGTGCCATGGCTATTTATGGAGGATGGCATGCCTTTTCTATATTGAGGCTGTGTCCTCTGGCTCGTGACGAGGGATGATTCAGCACACCCTTACGATTACAAGCAATGAATTGCAATGATTACAAACCCACAAGAAAATGAATTGTTATCTCTTTGTTTAACCTGCTTATATTTGTATTGGTGCAACCCCTACTTGTGAGCAGTTCAGAGAGGTGATGTTTTTTTATTTTATGATTGTATGCAGGATGAATGATGCTCAGTCTCGTCCAAGGCGTGAATACACACCTAAACCCAGACCATCCTTTGACTATGGAGAAGAATCCAACGGAGGATACTCACCATCTGCAACAAGCCCTTCAGCTTACTCCTCTGGTAAACTTAACTTTTCTGTATTTTCTAAGAGCAGTGTGAGTGCACTTGACCATCTGTGTCTGTATGTGTGTGAGGCCTACTCTCAAGAAGGCATGTGTGCAAGTCAATCTCATTCTTAAGACTGATGTGTCTTTCCTTCTACGACATTAACCAGCCCCAGCGCAATATCCAGTTCCATCCTTCCAAAGAGCCTCCATCAAGAGCAGACAGCGTGAGTGAGACAGATGAAGATAACGTGTCACTTACACAGAAGTAGAAAGTTTCACTACTTTCACTCACTCTGTTGCACATCTGTGTGGCAGAGAAGGTCTGTGCATGTCTGTGTGATGGCAAAGTATTTGGCTAACATTGTTGAGTGGTGTTTGTTGGGTCCATATTTTCAGGTTCCCAGAACAACATGGGACTTGACAGTGTGAAAATTACTGTCTGACCAAAGGTTGCAGATACATGGAATCGTCAGCAAAGCACGTCATGTCTGTCAAAGTTGTCGATCACATTTTTTACAAAATATTTCTTTTTTTTAACCGGTAGTCATGGTTTTGCTGAATTATATGTACCTGACATCCTGTTCACTGACTGACTGAAGCTTCTGTACCTCAAGAAAAATCACTTCATGCCACATGTTTCATTTAGAGAGATAGTCCGTATGGGTGGAGCTAATATTTTTCACCTTTTCAGTCAAACACAAGAGAAAGTAAATGTGAAGCGTCTAAAACTTGAACAAACTTGGACATTATGGTCATAATAAAATAATTCAGCTATTAACATGTCAGGACATTGATTTTGATCTTGAGCTTCAGAAGGATTCTCCCTTACCACATTGACTACTAACATATCGCCTGTTTTAATGACTCTTGTTTTGTGGTCTATTCCAGAGTCCTATTGGGAAAAAATACTGGTGACACACTAATACTAATGCTGTTGAGGGGAAAATGTCAAATATTCTTTTCACTAAATGACAGTATTTGTTCTTTCTCCCTCCTTGCGTCTGTTTTTGTCTCTTTCTGCAGAGCCGTGCTGTAAAGCCCTGTATGACTTTGAGCCAGAGAACGACGGAGAACTGGGCTTCCACGAGGGCGACATCATCACCTTGGTCAATCAGATCGATGAGAACTGGTTCGAGGGAAGCCTTCGCGGCAAATCAGGATTCTTCCCCAACAACTATGTTGAAGTGGTGGTGCCTTTGTCACACTGAAATCAGCAAGGCAAGAGGGTGACAGCGTGATGGAGAGGATGAATAGGGTGAATTATTAACTTTCTATGATCAACAGATATTTTTCCTTAATTGTAATTAAAGGGTAAACATCTCAAGATGGACCTAATTTTGTATTTAGGAGTTATCTGAGGAAAGAGCCTATTTTATTCCGTCACATTATGCCAATATTTAATGGATTTTTAAAAACAGTAAGAACAGAGGGATGTTCAATCAGAACAATGAGGGTATGTTTGGGTGCATTTACCTTATCCTCACATCCTTACACTCGTTCTCTATGCACCTGAGCACTTCATACACTACACCTCCACCACTGGGACTGATCAAAGCAACATCCACAAACACTTGCAGCAACTTTATTCGTAGCCTATTTTATATTCACAAGATGATATTTCTTATTCTATGTATTGTTCATATTGGTACGACACCCGTGCATGTATACACATGCTTTCTTCTAAGCAGTTTTCTACACTCCCAGTTTTCATTACTGTGCCTTCAGGCTTTAGTACTGTTGTCATCATAGTGTAGTTGGAGTCAACATGGAGGAATGGCTGCCTTTTGTCGATGTATTGAGACTATCCTCTACTGCCACCTGGTGGAACTAAAAATACAGATATATTTAAAAATAGCTGGAGCCACTCAGCAGGAAATATATACTGATTGCTGTATGAAATGTTTTTTTTCATTCTTAACACTACTGTTTATCAGACACTTATTCAAGACAAAAAAAGGTAATTTCTAAAGAGCGAGGGGGTGTCCATAAATATGCTTAGCTTTATAATCTTTATCACACCAATAGTTGCTAAGTTGTTAATGCTTTAATTTACCTTCAGCTCTTCATGTTTCTCACTGCACTCCACTCTCTTCTCTTAGAGCTGTTGCCAAAGAAAGGTTGCACACTTTCCAGATTGGATGAGGCTGCTGTTTGTCATTAAAAGAAAACATGTTTCATACAGCCTATTTACTTCACAGTTTTTAAAATGAAAATTAGACATTTCTTGCCACTACAGTGCAACCCACAACTATGTGACATGATTCACCCCTGCCCCAGAAATGTTGCAGCATCACACCAAAGCCATATGCATGCATCTTTCGGTTCCACTATTCTCTCAGGCTCTATTGATACTGCTGGCAGTGTCGCTCACAATATTTTGTGGCCCTTTGCTTAACTGTTGTCAGTGATTTTTCAGTCTGTGATTTGTTTTCCCCCTATAGTCCTGGGCTAAGCTTGGCTTTAGTACTCTAACCTGTAATTTGGAGCATGGAAATTAATCTGATGTGTTTCGGGTGTTTTTGTACCGGCCTCAGTTTTCAGGCTGAAACTGTGCACCAGACCTGACAGAAAATGCTATCTCCAAACTACTGCGTTAATAATTTACTAATAATGAGGAAGGCCTGTACACAATAGCCGGTTTCAGTTTCAATTAAGTCTATTACAAGCTGACTATGGGCTGTGAGGGTTTGTGCTGTTCACTAAAATGCCAACTTTCTCCTCTTGTCATGATCCCCTTGTTAGACCGCCCCCCGCCCCACTCATCTCTCCAGTCTCTGTTAAAATTGGGAGCGGAACAGACAGGTCTTTTCAGCAGGGAAGGGCACACAGCAGTGGCCCTCCCTCCCCCACTGGTCTTTATTCACCACCTGCCCCTGTGCCCCGACCCCCTTTCTCATTATCGGCCCCATCCCAATCCCATGGTTCCTCTGGAGCTCAGTCTCCTGGTCCTTCCCTGGAATAATCTCTTCATTGTTCGTACATATCGTAGCATGTGCCTCTTAAATGTTATGTTTGCATGCCTCCTATGTTTCATTCATGTTATATATATATATATATATAGGGCCAGGGGTTTTGGCTGTGCAGAGTAATAACTGTGGTTCAGGTGTGGGTTTACATGCCTCATTACACTAAGTCAAAAGCCCAAAGTTGGAGAGGGAAAAGGAGGGTCAGGGGTTCAGGATCAGCTTGTGTAATGTTGATGGTGAATAATGTTGTGAAACAAAGGGATGAGATCAGTTCTTGTGTGCTGCTGCAGTCACAGCAAGTATTATCAGACTTTAAAGCTTTATTTTATTATGCCTAATGTTAATGGAATTTTTCTGTGATAAAATGTAACTGCTTTGCATGTGTCTTCATTACACCTTCTGTGTCTTAGGCAATGCCTTATTCTTGTAATTGTGACACTGTGGGGAGACTAAACGTGGGATTATCCTGGATTATCTTTAGGATATATGGATTACCTCTATACTAAGTGTAATCTTCTTTGTATTGTATATTTTTGTTACTCTGTAAAAGGGAATGGATGCTGTTCATTCACTTCTTCAAATAAATAATTAAGTCATTTGGCTCTCTCTCGTTTTAAATGGATACAATTTAATGAAAGGTTTGTACACTGATGCAGATAATATAGAGGCGTGGGATTTTCTCTTTTTACATGTAGCTCACCTGATTCTTTTTTAAATCTATCCTTTGATATTTGCGCAATTGTTTATTTATGCTCAATACACATCTATATACTTGGGGCACTTATCCCCCAACCATACAGTTTTTAATCTGCACAACCACCCGTCTGCATGATGCCGAGACACAGCAGGCTACACCAGCCAGCTGTTGGATTATTGCCACAGCACTATCTCATCGGGGAAGGCGTGTCACTCCCGAATTACTCAGCGCCCCTTTGTCCTCTGTCTGTGCCCAGCCAGCGACACTCATGGCGGCTGCACCCGTCAGGCAGCGCTCCGGGCCGGGGGGACCCCGGGCGCAGCTCCCGCCCTGCTACTACGAAGGATACCTGGAGAAGAGAGCTCCGAAAGAAAAGGTAGGTTCTGCCGGTGAAGATGTAAGTGCCATGTTGTTTCCACTGCATGCGGCGGACAGTGTCTGGGTGCGTGCACCGTCTTATCTCCCATTCCCACAGAGCTGTCAACTTCCTTATTGTGTCAAAATGGGCGAGGCGAGACTGCACTGGTGCTGCTGGGGATTGTTTCACATAACGGATCACAGATGTGTTGGGGTGTTAAGTGGGGTTTCGCCAGAATCTGACGGGGAAAGCATGCAACAATTCAGGACTGAATCACGACGTGTGAATTGTGGTAACGCGACCGCTGTCAAAACATTGCGTGTCATTGAAATTACATCACATGAACGATTTCTGGCTGTTTCCCTGATCGTAATAACTAAGCATCTATGTCACAGCATGTCTGGCAAGATTTTTCAACGCTCAGAATTCACTGCGGACTCAGAGACATACTGTTCTGATAATATCTTAAATACAAAGTTGGATACAGTGAAGCTGACAATATTCAAAAATGATTATTTTACATGTTGTATTATTTGTATATAAGGTGACAAAGAATGGGACCCCCTCCCGCGCCCACCCCCCCTCATTTTAATGCAATATAGACTTGTAATGTGAGCCTGGCTCAGGTGCAGGGGATTGCACTCACCCATGGCCCCAGACTGACAGCAGCTGTGGCCCGCTCCATGTCCATCTCTTGGGACAGGAGATGTGGGAGTAATAAAAAAGGGAAATATCCAGTACACACGTGAAAAAACTGGCACTGTTGTTGCCACAGCAGTATTCCTTTACTGTACTGCTTATTTCTGTGTGACAGGCATCCAGGCGACTGTGGACCTGTCTGTGCGGGAATTCTTTGTATTTCTTCAATAATGCCAAGGACACTCATGTAAGTTTCAGACTGTATGCATTTAGGTTTTTTATGTGCATTGTAGTGTGTTGACACTGAAACATGTTTTGTGTGTGTGTTATAGTATGTGGAGAAGCTGGACCTCAGTGGGTTTGTGTCCCTGAAGGACGACTGCAGCCGGGACAGAAACCTGGAGGCAGCAAGACTCATCCTGCGCATGAAGGATGGAGAGACCAAAATCACAGTAATGCCACTCAACACACACACACACACTCATTAAATGTAACACTTTTTTGCCAGGTGTGAACGTGCTATTGTCCTTTCCAGGCACCTAACTTGGAATCAAGAGAGCTGTGGAAAGGTTTCCTCTACTCCGTTGTAGATGTAAATATCCATCTTTTGCACACCTGCTACAACTGCATCCCTCTGCCAATCTGTCTCTCTGTTGTCTTAAAAATATTCTCCCCTCTGTCCAATCACAGCTGAATGTACCATCCTGTCTCACGTTGCTGCCGGGCCAGCTGCAGATGCTGAAGGAGGTGGTGGACAAAGAAAGGTCCAGACGGAGAACTCGCACTCCCACGCGTGCTCCTCCCTCACCCCTCTCCGTGCCTTTAGTGGGAGAGATCCCACCGTGAGTTCTCCACGCTGTTGTGTTGAGAGGATGCACTGTAGATATAGCACCTTTAGTGTGTGTGCACGACTGTATTACTAATAATGTGTGTGTGTGTGTGTGTGTGTATGTTCCATGCAGGTGTTTTCGCCCGGTGTCTCGAACAGAGGCTGAAGTCCTCTTAGAGAGACACCCAGACTGCGGCAACATGTTGCTTCGTCCAGGCAGAGATGGATGCTCACTGGCTGTCACTACTCGGCAGGACCTCAATGGGTAAAAACCTGCCGAACATCTGGACACTGTAGCTGCAAATATCGGACACAGTGACCATTCATTGCAAACGCTTACAAGCTTTCTGTTTTTTCTAATTTGCTCCAGGTCGGTGTTCAGACATTACCGTGTGACTCAGAGGGACCAAGGCGGTTACGTCATTGATGTAGAAAATCCTGTAAGTGTCTAATACTTGCAGATACAATTCACATCTTACAACAATTCATAAGGTGGAATAAGTTCTCATTATAATTGACTTATTTGCATTAGCATCCATCCAACATTTTCTCTCCATACAGATACAGATTCCAACACTCTAATTCAGGGTATCTGGTGACACCATGTACTTATCTGATACCAGAGCTATCTTTTAGCAGATTTATAATCTGTATACCACACTGTGTGTCATATTGTGCATATTGGATCAATGGGGATGGATGATGGACCATGGGGCTAAATATTTAAAAAGATAAAAAACAGAATGTCAGATAAAAACACAGGTAAATACAGCTGTATCTTCACATTATCATGTATTTTGGCAACCACTTAGGACACAGAGGATTTTGTAAACACTATTTGGAAGAAGAAATGTACAACATTAAAATGACAATTTTGAATAGTGTTTTCAGGTGACTGCAATCTCTGCCTCAGACTGTGTGTAAAGACCACTAACAAACCAGCAGCTTTAGACATATAACACCGCAGGTTTCCTCCTCCAGATTCCCTGTGCTGACCTTCACGAGGTCATTGATGCTCTTGTAGAGAAGACAGCGGGAACTCTCCAGCCTTTCCTACTGGAGGAGCCTTATGAAGAGAATATCAGTGAGGCGACACATATTCTCAAGATTCTATTATTGTTTTCCTGTGCATTTTCATACAAATAATCAATGAGGCTCACCACGTTAAACTCTGTTTGTGTCATCAGCATACGTTTCCGCCAATGATGAGAACGGGGAGAGGATCCTCCACACTGCCCCCTCCAGCCCCCTGCCAAAGGCTCCTGCCCTGCCTCCTAAACAAGGTGTGCCTTGGTCAGATAAACCCCATGCAGACAGTCACAGGCAGACGCCAATAATCATTGCTGTCATTCCGGTGCAGATCGTTGGTCCAGCAGCCCCCTGTCCAGGTCTCCTGCCCCCGATCGCCGTATCCTGACCTCACCAGTGCCGGCCTCGCCCACCAACCCGATGAGACGACTCATTCTCTCCCCTTCACCTCTCGCACAGAGTGAGTAGACAATGCAGTCAATCCTGATTTGTATTTATTTCAACTCAGTGGGCCTGTCCCAATAAGTCCAGTAATCGCCACAGTGCCCAACCTGTTAAGGCTGCAAGCATGGGGATAATTTTTGGGTTAAGTGGACCCTGTGTTGGTATTTTTCTGACATGGGATGCACTTGCATACTACCTGGACGCACGTGAATGCGCAGCTAAGTTCTCAAGACTGCAAGTGTGGGTATAAGAACAGATCCAGTGTGTTTCTTCTGTCTTTCCACAGCACTCAATGAGGAACTCAAAATAAAGCTGGAGAAGAGACGAGCCAGCCAGGAGTGACATGCTCGTAAAGAGCGACCTCCCATCACAGCATACTCAATCTTCAGTGCCGAACCCCTTCTCACCGCAGCTATGTATTCATCCTGTGCCTTCTTGGTGGAAGACAAGGGACTACAACTTGTACACTCGTGAGGAAATAGAAAATGTTCTGAATTTCATTATTTTGGTCTGTTTGACTTGATTGATGGTTAAATTAACTCTGATCAGCTCCTTAAGAGCAATACTGGCTGGTTAAACACTGGATTAGGTTCATAAAACCTCATAAAATGCTGCCTTCCTTGGTTGGGGTGAGCCACAATCCGCTAGTGCTACTTCCACTTACATAAAGCTGTTTACAAACTGCCTATAAACAAAAAAAACAAAATAGTGCCACATTAAATGAATCAATATGACTGGCAGCTAAGACCTATCAGCGAAGCACGAACACGTGCTGGACCACCAACTGAGCTTATGTTTTTTCCCCATCTGAGCCGCTGTCTGAGTGCTGAGCTGCTGATGTTCATGCTGCAACACTGGAGACTGAGAACAAACAAACCACAGACTGCCAAGATCAACACCGGAGCGACTAACTCTGACCTGAAACCTAGAACACTTCTATCTGCCCCTGAAAGTAAAATAAGCCAGGCACACTCAGGTTTCAGCTCAGCAACTCTCTTCATTCCCCTCATTTCATGACTGAAAAACATGACTGAAAAAAAGAAAAGAAACTGCACAATGTCTGCCTGCTGCTCTTGAGTGCTGTTTGTGATTGATAAGCAACCATTGATGTATCGTTGATTCTAATGACACTGTTGTTGTGGCTCATCCATGACTCAACTTTTACTGTGCCGTCGGTGCTTATTTTAAAGTGTTTCCTTATTCTCTGCTACTGTGTACATGCTACTGTACGGTGCTATGGACTCACTGGAAACTCCAGGTGATTTCTGTTCCTCTTCAAGAAAATCAATCTACTGTATTCATATGTGAGGGTGCCCTCTAGTGGAAGCTAAAAGGGACAGAAAATGTATCAGCACCCTTTTACCTTGCAAACTGAACCTGGTGAAGACTTTTGGCTTTATCACAGCATTATGCCAAGCCCTACCTCTCTACCTTTAATAGCAAAATTATAATTTATTACAGTTCTGTCTGTTTAGACAATAAGTATTTCTAAATGGGAATCTCTGTCTTACATTTCTGTCAATTGGCCAGTCCTTACAGTTTTGAAATGTCTTGAGTAGCCTACCTACTAGTGGCAAACTGTGATCAACTGACGCATAAGTGTCTTCTTGCAGTTAACAGTTTCTTGTATGTTTGTACATGATTTGTTGTGTCCACTTGATCACTATCAAAGAATAGTGTTTGTTAGATAACATGGGCATTAAATTGTTTTGCATGGATGTGATTTGTCCCTGTTGTGAAATTACGTAAGTGTCAGCCTGTTTTAGGACATAGTCTTTGTGTAGCGTTTCTCATGACAACATGAAAATGGGGACATTAGTTAATGGAGTTAATCAGTATTATGAGTGGATGATTAAAGAGGACTCAGGTAGTGTTGTAGTACTCGAGACCGGTCTTGGTCTAAAGACCACTTTTTGATGGTCTTGGTCTTGTCTCTGACTCGACCGCACTTGTACACGGTCTTGTCTTGCGCTTGGATATTGAGGACTCGGGATTTTATTTCAAGACCATACATAACTTTGGGAATATCAATAAATTGCTTTTGCATTGTCTGATTTATTTGTTAACATCCAAACTTTGATTGGATGTAAAACGTACTGCTTCAAATGCAACGAATTACCCTAATTAAAAATATGTTGTTACCGTTAACGACTGTCACTCCTAACCGCGATGGTAAACATGGAAAAGGAGTGTTGAATAAAGATGCTTACATTGATTTCAGCTATTAGTTTTTGTATGTGGGTGTTTTAATGGGAATTTGGATCTTTCAGATCAGTTTGAGAAGCACCTATGATCTCGTTCCACATTTTATTTTGTGTCATGTAATGTGGAGAACTGGTCTTGTCTCAGTCTCGATAAACTCTGGTCTTGGTCTTGACTTGGTGTCGGTTTGGGCGGTCTTGCCTACAACACTAGACTCAGGTCTTGCTCAAGTCTTGTTAATAATGTTTATCACAGAAGGACAAGAGAAAATGTATCAGCAAAGGTCTAAGATGTTTTTTCAGTTTAACATGAAGGTCAGTGTAAATGGGGGCGGCTAACACACCTTTTTCTTTTTTATGTGTATATTTTCCTTTTCTAGTTTGTCTCTTGATTTGTGAAGTTGGAAAACGGAAAATATTATAAATAAAACATAACAAACATAAGAAGTGAATGTCAGTAATGTAAGATGCGGGGATTTGATGTAAAAAAACAAAACAAAAATACAGGTGTTTGTGCTTTGTTTTTTCCCTGCCTTATGGTCTATGTATGTTACTCAGGACGTTATGCAGGTATCAAGTTCAACCACATAAAACCTCTAAAAAGTAGGCTTATGGCTAAATCTATCAAATCTAATTATAAATAGAATAGTTTATATTTCTGTGCAGGTGCAACAGACCAATTAAATCATCCATATATAAGACCCCATGCATGAAAAGAAGCTCCCACACCTCTAGGTAATGTTAATCCATCACTCCTGTTTGCACCAATAATGCTGTGCTACTTGTTAGGGCCTGTTGTAAAAAAAAAAAAAAAGGAAAAAATACTTGCCACCCTCCAGTTCCTTTTATCTTTTACCTCGCCCATCTTGAGTCAGCTGTGCACTCCAGTGAAAGATACAAGTATACGAGAACAATGAAATCGTAATCAGACCTAGGATCAGATCCTTCCCACGTCTTAACGAGGTAACAAAAAAACGGAGTAGCAGCCAGCCATTCAGGTCCTTCTCAGCGCGAGAGCCGCTCTACAATAACGACTGACCGCTGTGACTTTCAGAGGACGGACAGAGATACAGTCCGTCTGCTGAGTTGTAGAGAAGCGCCTTTATTTCTCCGGTCGGTGGCTTTGAGAAGTGAACCTGCGGTGCTCCTGCGAACAGTCTTTAAAGGAAGTGGCGAGCTACCGCGAGTCAAAGTTTAAGCGTCAGCTGAGTTTGTGCGGCTTGTGTTATACGCTCGACAGTTTCTAAATAACGTCCTGCGACTTAGTTTTACTACCAACTGCTGTGGAATAGATGAAGAGGCAGTGGTTCAGAAATAACGCTTAAACTGGTGTTTACGGGAGTATTTTTTAAATGGAAGCCTCCGCAGTCTGGGGCGTGTCAGTGAACAGGTAAGTGATTAACTTTCAGTGTTTGTTTGACTGATGGTTAACCCGTTTGGACTCGCGCACTTTCCTAGTTAACCTACGTTTGTGCCCGCTTTTGGGGATACCTGACCTTACAGCCTATGTAGTAAAAAAATAACTTCAAATAACACATCAGAAATACACTCAAATAAGTCATTGGCTTACTCTGAGCTGCGTTATTAACTAAGCAACTCATTTCAGAATAATTGAAGGCTAATGCTTCAAGCTGCACTTCTCCACACTTCGTGACAGGCTTGTTCTTGCTAGGAGACCTCTGATGCATGCATGTGATGCCCAAGATGCAGGGTGCGGGTGCAGATGGGTGTTGAGTTGAAGCTGTTTTTTCCCCCCCAGGGCCAAATATGTGAAACATCTTATCAGGGCTGAATTCTCTAACATGCCGCAACACAGCAGCACCTCTCTTGGGAAAGAAACACCCACAGCACACACCCACTTGGCAGGTTGTGGTGACACTGCTGGACAAAATCGCAGCAAAAACAACAGCGGGCCCTTTTAACAGCAAGGTCATTGAGAAGAGAAGCAAACCCTGGCTAACTGTTACATGAATTAACTTTGGTAATGATGAGTCAAGTTTGCATCTTTCCTGCAGGCGTGTTTGAAACCTCTCTTGCAACAAAGTTTGTGCAAGAGCTCCTCTCTCATCTACACCAGCCTTTGGTACTGGCTGTGAATCTGGCATTGTGTGCTTGTGTTTGGTGCTGCAGGAGAGCTGAAGTTGACATCCCTGCACCCTGCTGAATGCCTTTCAAGGCCCTGCATTAACATCACTATGGCACTGACAGAATTACTGCCGCGCTGACTTTAGCTCACTCTGCCACTTTCTGGTCATCCCTCTGCTTTTCTGCTTTGTTTCGCTTCCTGTTTTAAACATGCCTTAAATGTATCTTTTTGTTTTCTTTTTGTTTGTTTGCTGTATGTATTTTCAACTCTGTCAGGTTTCACATCCGGTGAATTGATTGTGATGTCCACACAACCTTGTCTCTTTCAGCCTTCGTTGGCTTTGTTTCTGTGGTCTGCGCCATCTATCTCATCATGGACACCCAACTGAGTGGGGCCAGTAAAGGGGCCAGTGCCCTTCAGTCAGCACAGACCTCATCACGTCATAGATGCCACTCACTGTCTTTACCCCTGTATGACTGACTGTTACGGAAACAATAAAGCTTACATTCCTCTTAGCTTGAACAAAACAGCCATGCAGCCGCTGCTGTCCCTCAGTGTCTTTTGGCTGCTGCCCCTGGCCTTGACGCTGGAAGAAAACTCACCACTGGACTGCGTCCCCCGTAGATCTGTGCCTTATCATAGTGAGTGTTGCTATCTCTTGTGTAACCTTGGCTTACAGTATGTCAACTCGTGTTGGCTCAAGTGGTGTGGGTTTGGTCTGATTGATTTTTATTCTGTAGGGGACAACGCTCACGTGTTTCGTGAGGAGGGAGTGTTCAACTATTCCACTATGCTGTTGAGAGAAGACCTGGACCTGCTAGTACTCGGTGCCAGGGAGGCAGTGTATGCTCTTGATCTCAAAGACATCTCAAAGAAACTCGCTTCAGTAAGAACACCTTTGTTAATAATGTAGTTAAGGTCAATTCAGCCTTGGAACAGCTTCCATTAACTGTTAGCATTAGGTTTATTTTTGAAATTTCATATCAGAGCTTTCTTGACTCAGGGCTAAGAACAAATGTGTGCTCTTTTTCCCTGAATATAATCTTACAGGCAGCACTTGCTACAAGTTCACTGTTCTAGAGTAAGCGCTGCCTGAGAGCCCCAGTTCAGAGCAACCAAGACCTTGTATCCGTGAAGTCATGGTGACACAGATGGTAAACTCAGTAAGATCAACTACAACAACCTAAACGGTTTCAGAAATTGCTCCAGTTTCTGTTGTTTACACAACTGCCTTGACAACCACAGACAGCGCCAGATAATGCTAATAAGTTTTAAGAGTTAAGCCTTGTACATCAGAAGATCCTGGTGTGTGTGCCCATGGCAGTGATGTAACACTTTTCTTCACACAATATACCAGTGTGGTAATTTTCCCATTGAACTGTAACTCATTTATCATTGTTGTAAGATTGGCCCGTATGTGCATGCACATAGCACCTAATTAATAACAAAACTGCTGTCAAATACAGTACATTGTGTGAAAACACAGTCTGACTATTTTAAAACGACAATTTATTGTTTTTATATTTTCGCCAAGAAACAAACCAGCTTTACTGAAAATTATTTGATGATTATACCTCCACTGCTTTGGGTTAACTGGTAGCCTAATAAGGGTTAAGACAACCACCACATGTGACATGTACCGCTGTTGCATTTCATAACCCTCTCTCTCTCCCCCAATGTTTCTTGTTCCTCTCTGCACTGTCAAATAAAGGCATGAAAAAATGTGAAATCTGTATTTGTACAACAGAATAACACTTAATATTTAAAAAGAGTGTGATTAAAATTGCTTTTCACTCCTACAGGCTAAATGGGAAGTGACAACACGGCAAAAAGATGATTGTAAAAACAAAGGAAAAGATCCCGAGGTGGGTTTCTTTTTTTGTTTTATTTTTTTTTAGCTTTTGCTATTTAAAATGTATTGCACATTGAGCAGATGGAGTCATTGCTTTTTAAAATGCATTTACAGATGGAGTGCAAGAACTACATCAGAATCCTGCATAAGATGGAGGATAACAGAATGTATGTGTGTGGAACCAATGCTTTTGATCCTGTGTGTGATTACATGGTGAGGCAAAATGAGAGCCACAGTGCTCACTTATCTCCACTCATACTTTATCAATACTGTTTATAGTGTATATAAAATAACTGCAGGTACTAGAAAAATGAACACTTGGTGTGTTGCGGCGCCTCTGTGTTTGTCTGTGCAGTCCTACGCAGATGGAAACCTGACTCTTGAAAATAAAGGAGAGGATGGCAAAGGGAAGTGTCCGTTTGATCCTTTCCAGAGATATGCCTCCGTCATGTTTGGTAAGTAGCAATTATATGGATAAGAAAATGAGGAAGTTAACATAGCTAAATGTTTTAATTTATATCTGTGTCTGCTGCTATGTCTTGCCAGAAAACAAGCTGTACTCAGCCACTTCAATGAACTTCCTGGGCTCTGAACCCGTCCTGATGCGCAGCTCTCCGGTCTCCATACGCACAGAGTTCAAGAGCTCCTGGCTCAATGGTAAGATGTGAGAGTATGTAATGTGTTTTTTGCAAGATGCTTCAATCATGCGAGGGCTTCACTGTTTCACCTTGATGATTATGGTAGCTGAGAAAAAGGTTTTTTTTTTTCTTCTTTCTATGCCAGAGCCCAACTTTGTTTCCATGGCTCACATGTCAGAGAGTGTGATGAGTGCGTCAGGTGATGATGACAAGGTTTACCTGTTCTTCAGTGAGACCGCTGTGGAGTGCGACTGCTACAACAAACTGCTGGTTTCACGTGTGGCCCGCGTCTGCAAGGTGAGAAACCGTTCCTTATTTGTTGCAGCTACATTTCCTGAAACAACAATAACGTATAAACACAACTTCCTCAGTTGCGCTCATTCCGCCATTTCCTCTGCTTGATTGTGCATCCTGCTGGTCTTCATGTTTTTCCACTTCATCGTGAAATTTATGTGTCTTTCTGCGCTCGCAGGGGGATGTTGGAGGTCAGCGGACCTTGCAGAAGAAATGGACATCCTTCCTGAAGGCCAGGATTGACTGTCCGGTGCTTGAGTCCCAGCTGCCGTACATTATCCAGGACACTTACCGCTGGTGTGACCCCCAGCAGCCCTGGAAGGACTGTTTGTTCTTTGCCGTCTTCACACCACAGTCGTACGTTTGAATTAACAAACTAGTTTGTGTAAGAGGGAGGAAGGTTTCTTTCTCTTTAATGGTCTTTGGCACACCATTTGGCTCTTATTTTCTGTGGTTGTGCATGTGTTTCAGGGATACATCAGACCTGTCTGCAGTGTGTGTGTACCTCGTGTCTGACATCAGCAAAGTGTTTGCAGAGGGGAAGTACAAGACCCCAGTCCCAGTAGAAACGTCTTTTGTTAAGTGGGTGATGTATAGCGGAGACGTCCCTTTCCCTCGGCCCGGAGCTGTGAGTCTTCCCCGCTATTCAATGTGTGTGTGCGTGTGTTAGAAACAAAGATAAAACTCAAAAGGCTCAACAGGAGGCTGATTCCTTTTGTACTCTGACTCCGTTGTCCTCTTTTATTTATTTTTTTCTCTTTCCTTCCCCTCTTCCCTCACCAGTGTATAGACAATTCAGCTCGTAAAGCGGGCATAACTCAGACTCTGGACCTCCCGGACCGGACCCTTCAATTTATCAAAGATAAGCCCCTCATGGACCATGCTATCCAGCCAATAGGAGAGGCACCTCTACTGGTGCGAAGGGGAGCTAAATTCACACGCATCATAGTTAACCAAGTGCAGGCCGCAGATGGCGATAAGTACCACGTGATGTTCATAGGCACAGGTGTGTGTTTGCAGCACACTTGTCACGTTTGACTTTGCTGCTTTTGCTAATTTAACAACACCAGTGGTAAGCATTTGACTATGTGTGTATATAATATAGCATGTTTCTATGTTTTTAAACGAAAAGAGGAAGGCACAATGCTGAAAGCAGTGAACTACAATGGAGAAATGTTCATCATAGAGGAAGTACAACTCTTCCAGGCTCCACATCCAATCAAGATTCTGAAATTCTCTAATGTCACGGTAATTTAAGTCTCTGTTGTAGCCTAATGAATGGCTTAATTCATTTAAATCACTATTCAAGTGTATGTTCATTGTACTGTGTGTGTGTGTGTGTGTGTGTGTGTGTGTGATGGATCCACTGTGTACAGGGTCAGCTCTATGCAGGCTCAGACTACGGAGCAGCACAGATACCACTGGCCACCTGTGGGAGGTCCTCATCCTGTATGGACTGTGTTCTAGCCAGAGACCCATACTGTGGCTGGGACACAGTTGGTGGGAAATGTATTGTCATTTCTAATTCACAGAGGTAGGCAGCTGTCCCAACATGTAGAGCAAGCAGTGTTTATGTCTGTTCTATCCAAACTAAATATCAATTATTGTATCTTCTGCTTTAGAGAGCTAATCCAAAGTGTGAAAGAAGGAGATGCCTCTCTTTGCCCAGGTGCTGGTGAGTCAGTGCACACTGCTACTTAAAGAATCTAAGTATGATTAGTACATCTCTGTTTTCTCTGGATCTCTGTTTTGTTTTCAGATCCGGTTAAGCCTGTGAATCAGTCCATCTGGCTCGGGGGTAACGTGAAGCTCAGTTGCCCCTCGCCTTCTAACCTGGGAAAAACCACCTGGGAGCAGGACAGCAGCCCTCTGACCCTTTCGACTCATCTTCAGCTTCTGCAAGATGGACTGCTTATCTTCAACGCCTCACACTCCGACACCGGTGTGTACCGCTGCTTGTCTGTGGAGCGCTCCAAAGCTGGCGAGTACACAACCACTTTGGCTGAGTACCACGTTAGCATTCCAGAAGGCGGTGATGACAGGAATGTGATTTCTCCTGAAGCTCAGATCAATGGCCCCTCCTTGGCTGGACTTCAGGTCGTAGTCGGGTTACTTCTAGTTTCTCTTCTTGCCCTTTTGGCCTGGAACTTTTACAAAGGCCACCTACCGCTGCCCTGGAACTATAGGAAGAATAGAGAACAATCCCAGGAGACTCCAGATCAGGAGGGACTGAACTCCTGCACAACCTACCAAGATGCACAGAGGCCCGCATTGGCAGAGGACAAGCCCCTAGTGTCAGGAATAGACAACGGCAGCAGGAATAACAACCACACCAGAGGGGCAGCGGCATTCAGTGCTGCAGAGGAGAACGATGACCCGACATTTACTCCTCCATCTCTGCAGTATATTGATGACGAGTCTGAAATGTGAAAAGCACAATACAATATTCGCTCAACATTCAATAATTCCTGAACTGATGACTGCAGTAAAGAAACTGGTTTGAACTCCCATTTATTGTCCAACTTGAATGCTGAATGGGAGTTCTCCAAACCAGTTTCTTTACTGCAGTCATCAGTTCAGCAGGAATTTAGAGTTGAAATTTCAGTTTATGGGGCATTTCCAGTGAGTTGGAGTATAAAAACATTCAGAGGGGTTGAAACATTGTTTTCAGAGTTTGAACTGTTGCGACTAAACACACCAAAAGATTTTATAATACAATTTTGTATCATTGCCATGAATTTCTGCTTCACTTTGTTTTAATGCAGCTGTGTGTACATTTAAAAGTATGCTTTAGTTTACTAATTATTATAAATCCCATTTTTAGATTACAATAAATTTCAAAGATTCATGATTTTCACAGGGAATGTACAATAACTGAAACTGAGCCATGATATTTTTAACCACTAGCTGCGAAGATTTAGTTTTATTAAACATTTTCTACCTGGTGTCTGTGTTGTTCCAGTATATCCACATATAGTTGTTATTGGCTTTCAGCAAGACTGGACTGGCCAAGAATGAGAAGAACAGAAGTGGATGTTACCTGCCGTTATGAATCATCTTTGTACTCTTGTGTACGACTCTTTTCTGAAGTTTGAGATGTTCAGTGTTTTAACTATTATAGATGTATATTTGTCTCTTATTTAAAGCTAGGGAAGACCTCATTTGAGGAACTAGCAAAAGAGATTTTGAAAGTGTCCAACCCAACAAATCCCACCCCCTCTTTTTAGGCCTCTAGTCAAAGCCACTTCATGTGCAGGAGCAGCGCAGGTATTCCAGCCAGATTGGCCATGCTTATTACAGTCCTGCCACAGATGCCCGATTGTTTTCAGTTTTGTGTCAAGCATTTTATCTACTGATTGCTGTAAAGAGATTTCAGCAAATCTACTAAAAAAATCCTTTTAGAATATATAGCCTACCAGGCTTTAAATTCACAACAAAAAACCATCAACCGCTTGCAAAGAGTAAAAAGGCGGGGGAAAATCTTTAATGTGTAATTTTTAGACATTACATTACAATTTACTTCTTCAGACAAATAGTAGAGTGATTTGTGGCTTTAACAAACTGCTTTTTGTTGTGACAGCAGTTACAGACAACAACAAAGCACATTGACTGTACAGCCTATATAATATACCACGCATGGTTGAAACCCACTGACTGGGGTCTTGGTCCATCTGGTATGTGGCCTCTATCTCCTGTAGCGGTACCTCTTGAAGTGGAACCACAGCTGGAAGATCCCGTTGGCAAACTGACAACGGAAGCCGTGTCTGTGAGAGTACTCCCACTCCCTGTTCACGATCTTAAAGGCAATGTCCTCGTAGGGCGGGCCCGCGTGGAACCTTAAAATCCCAAAGTCCTTGTTGTCGGGACTGGGCTCAAGGAAGTACTGCGGAGTGGAGCGCTTGTCTATCAGGTCCGGGTAGAAGATGTTGAACTTGTAACCCTGGACGATCTTGGGCGGAGGGTTGTCGAAGTCGTAATGCGTCTGGTTGTATTTGTTCCACTCGAAGCCCGTGTGGACCCTGTTGAAGAAGCGGGGTTTCCTGGGACGGTATTTGTCTGCCCACAGGTACATCTTCCCCGTGACGGGAAACTCCACGCTGAACTGAGCCTCATCGTTGCCCATGCCTTCTCTGGCACGACGTACAAATTGCGTCCTCGGCGCTCTCGTTGGCGTCACCTGATCGAGAAGTCAAAGAAGCATTAGTGAGTGTCTTGGGGGGAGAAATATGCATCGTATATGTATTTATCAGTGTTTTGACATCTTAAGATTGGTTTTATCCACATTTTCACTGCTGAAAATGAAATATTTTGTGGTTATGTATTATCAAGAATGCACTGATTTAGAAGCTCTCTGTGTGTTAATCTCATACCCGTGACTTGCAGCTGTCTGCGTGCCAACTGCAGCCTGTGTGTGTCCTCTTCCGGCGTGATCGTGTGCGAGTCCAGCGGCAGCTCGGAGGAGCTGAGCAGCGAGGGACTGTAGCGGCCGGAGTCGTACTCCGCCTGGCTCTGCTGGATGAGGTCCTCCTCCGTCAACACAGTCTCTACCACCTCGCCCTTCTCCTCTTCGTCCTTCTTATCGCTGTTTTCTCCTCCGTCCTCGTCTTTGTTTCTTGCTGTGGATGTTGACGGACCTGCCTCCTCTTCTGCTTCTCTGTTCTTATTTCGTGTGGAGGAGGATGACGCCTGGCCAGGCTCCTCTGTTACTGTTGGTTCCCCTGCTCTCTCGCTGATGTTACAAAAACATTGGGGTTAGAACTTTGACACGACAATGCATCGTAAGTATTTTAGATTTTTCTGAGGCTATAATACACATCCTGAAAAGAAACAGAAATTAAATTTGAACCCCAGGTGACTGAAAATATGAACAGAAACCGACATGAGCCACTACTTCAGGTTGTGTGTTGTTTCGAGTTAACTTACTCCTCCTCGTCGCTCCTCAGCTCCTCTTTGATGATGGGGAACAAAGGCTCGCTTTCCACTCCTTGTTCCTGTTTAAGCTTGAACAGTTTCTGACGCAGAACATCCTGGTGTCGCTCCCTTAGCCTAGAACATAAAATTTTAGACTTTACACACACCTTTCCACCGTCTATCCAGATAAATCACGAGCCATCTGTGAAACATCTAGCTGCAGATTTAGGTTTATGACACACCGAGGTAATCAGGCACTTTAAAACACAATCACGGCTCCCACATTCATACCTTGCTCTGGCCATGTAGACTCGGACTTGCTGCAGCAGGCTCTCCCAGTATCCGATATCAAGATTGGATCCTCCGGCCCGAATCTTCGTCTCAATGTTCAGGTGCAGCGCCTGCAACTGGCTGTATGTCTTTCCTTTGAACACCGTCTGTACATCAGTGCTCACGGCTGTGTTGATGCCGTCACGACGATCACCTGAGAATTTTAAAAGATGGCAATGAACTTAAAGGGACTAAAAAGCGGGCTGAGCACAGCATCACGTTGCACATACAGTTAGCATTTAATGGAAATAATGACGTACCCGGTCCTCTTCCAGAGGCCTCCAGTTTTCTCAGTTTGCTGATCTCGTCTTCAGTGATTGTCGTCATGTCTCTCCAGAAGTCCACATTCTTCCCTTGCTCCAACTCCATGTACACCTACCAGCACAACACTCATACAGTAAGCCGTATACAGATGGGGTTCTGTTCATTTTAAGTATAAGAGGTGTGATGGAACTTTTACCATAGTTAAGTTCAGGGTCACTCTGCATGAAATATTATATTTCTAAATCAGTTTACACTGTGATGATTCAATATTAATGTTATGTCTGCATATTGTGGCCTGTTTTATACTCAGATTTCATGTCTAAATGAATATGTCAGATTTAACCAAAATCAGTCAGAGCGTGACATCTTAACTGCTCGACAACTATTTTTTTTGAATATTTTGGGATTTGGCACCTCCTCAGTGGTGGTTGAAAGAAAAAGACACTGAATTTGTTGAAACAGAGATTCTGATGAGATGAGACTGTCAAATATTTCTACAAATAAGAACTTGTACCATCACAATAATTTGAAAGATGCTATAATTGAATTGTAAAAATTCCACATACGTCTTTAACACAAACATTCTTTTAAATCTCAGCTAGACTAGAGCTGCAACAATTGTTTGATTAATCGATTATCTGTCGACTATTAAATGGTTCGGCAACTATTTTAATAATCAATCGGTTTGCGTAAAAGGCGTTTAAATTCTTTCATTCCAGCTTCTTAAATGTGAAAATATTTTCTGTTTTCTTTCCTCCTATGACATTAAACTGAATATTTGGGTTGTGGACAAAAACTTTGGCATTGGGAAACACTGATTCACATTTTCCACCATTTACTGTAGACCAAACAACTGGATTAATCGAGAAAATAATTGACAGATTAATCCACTATGAAAATAACCATTAGTTGCAGCCGCCGTTTAGACTGTGAGGTCTTATTACCAAACAATGCAACTTCAGCAGGTGGTCAAAATGTTATCTCGAGTTTGTTCATTTCAACATGGACGTGTAGTAGGTTGAGGTTTCTATTTACTGGATTTTTTACTTTAAAAGAGGCTGCAATGTTTAAAGATGGTGCACTTGTACTTAACATCTCCCTTGTAAAAGCAATCTTGTGCGACGAGAGCCATTCTAAGCTTAATAACATAACCACACACCTTGATATCCTCCAGCAGGTCATCCATGTCGGTGACTGTTAGCCCATTGAGAAAGGTGTAAGGCTCATGCATCTCCACAGCAAGATCGTCATCTTCTGCACTGATGTACTTTGCCAAAAGGTCAATAGGCTTTGCACGACCGTCGCGGATTCTAATCTTTGACCTGGACAACAATATTGTGAGACAGTGGGGTTTAAGAAGCAGTTGCAGGAGCCTGATGCACAGGGATATACAGTAACTGTTAATAGACTCACCTTAGTTTGGCCTGATGCAGATGGAAGTTGTCTTCCTGTTCAGCCCAGGTCTTGAAATGCTCTGCCTCCTTCTCCCTTTGCAGCATCTCCAGCTCCGTCTCTCTCATGGCCTTTTCTCGCTCCCTCTCCAGACGCAGCTGCTTTACCTTTATCCACAAAGTTAGCGTGATTAATCGAAGGGCTATTACTCATAACTCTGTAACATTTTAAGGCAACAAAGAAAGAAAAAAAACAACTATCCGACAGTTTATACCTTCTGCAGCTCTCTGCGGTTCTCCTCCTGAATACGTTTGTTCCTTTCTTTAAGGTCTTTTTCACCAAGATGGCCGATGCCTTTCTTATCCAACGCCTGAAAAAACACAGGAGGAAAAAAAACAAGAATCTTGGTTGTGTTACAATATTCAAAGCCAGGTTATGACAGTAAACTTTCAAAAATTCTGGGACTGTAAACTGAATACAGTTTATAATTAAAAAACTCATTAGAAGCTGTTAAGCTGCTCTCCAACTCACCTTCTGCCATTTGAATGTTCCTAATAAGTTGTTGTCACCGAAGGGATTGTCTGCGTTGGTGTATCCCATGTACTCTTCACTCCAGCCCATCTTTTCTCTCCTTTTCTTCTCCTTTGCTTCCTTCTTTGCCAGTCTCCTGGCCCTCTTCTCCTCTGGTGTCTCCAGAGCTTTCATCACATCCTTCTGTTTTTTCTTCTCCTCCTTTTCTTTGACTGCACGGCCCCCACGCTCAGACCCCGAGCTATCAGACGATTCAGGTGAACTGGAGCGCTGCCTCCCTCGGTCTCCCTCGGCCCTCTCTCTGCTTTTCACGCTCCTCCCCTGCTCCCTTTCTTCACTCCTCTTCCTTCGCTCGTGGCTCTTGTCTCCGTCCCCTACTCTTTCCCTGTCTTTGCTGTTGCTCTTCCACCTCTCTCTGTCTCGCTCCCTCCTGTGGCTGTCTCTGACTAGACTCCCCCTGTCAGGACTTCTCCTCCTTCTCCTTTCTCTGTCGCTGCTTCCATCACGGGAGTCTGGG